AAAACCAATGTGAATAAGGTGAAAATTATATGAAATGAAATTTCAGTGTTCATACATATAATTTTATTAGAACACAGCTATGCTTGTTCATTTACATACTGCCTGTGGCTGCTTTCATTCTATAACAGCAGTGTTAACAGAGTTGTAAGTAGTTGTAACAGAGACTGTATGGCCCATGAACCCTAGAATATTTATTATTTTGCTCTTTATACCAGCTCCTGGTAGAGAGGAAGGACCGTGGCATTTTGGGATAAACTGGATTTGAATCTGAATCTTATCTGTATCTCTATTAACTATGTTATCCCAAAGGTTTAGCAACTCTGAGTTTTCAGGTAATCATTTTTAGAATGAGTAAAATCACATCTCTGATAGAGAGCTTATATGAAAATTAATAATAAGATACCTGGAACGGAAAAAAATATCAATAAATGTGTTTCTCAACCACCACCGTCCCCACACCACTGTGTGGTATCACAGACTCTTTGAAATCCAATCAATTAAATATGTAATACATTTTCTGTTGAAGATTCATACTCAGTGTTGGGCTAGTTGAACCCAAACAAAGAAAAGAAGGAAATAATGGTTTATAGGCTTTAGGTTTTACACAGCAAAGGCTTCACATAGCACATGTTTCCAGCAGTGGTCTATAATTTATAATTGATGTTTTAAATATTATATTCAAAATACTATAAGCATACTATATTTAAAATACCTAACTACTTTCTGTTAGGATTGCTAACCAGTCCAGCCTGAGTGAGACCATTCCAAATTGGGAACATTTTAGAACAGCTATGAAAATAAATATGAACATATGATTTTGCATATGTTGATGGGCTCTCTGTGTAACCAAACAGCACCTCCTTCTCAGATTGCTTCATTTGTTGTCTGTATTGCTGAGATTCAAAGTACTTTCTGGAAGGAATCATTCCCTCTGTTTCTTTCTCTATCCCCCAATGGCACCTCGAGTTATAATATGCACTTAATAAATCCTATGAATTAGGTCCATGGATACATGGTCTTTGAAGAATTTAGAAGAAATTCAACAAAAGAAGACAAGAGGGCTTTCCTTCCAATTCCACATGTTTTAATTTGTTTTCTTGCTCGTGTCATGTTCTCATGTTTATCCCCGGTGTTCGATTCTGGGTCTGGCATATAACAGGTGCGTAACGCGTGCTGACTGAATACGGCAACATGATATAGAGGAATAAACATGCGATCATAGTCAAGAGGCATGAGTCTGATCTTCAGTTTTACCATTTGATTCTTGAGTAATGTAAAAAAAGCACTTTGAGACGAATTCTTATTTTTCTAATCTATAAAATAGGAAAACAACTACTTTGCCAAACTCAGAGCTACTGCAGGGATCAAATTAAAAAGCACATGAGAATGCACTTTGTAAACTATAGTGGCTTTTAAAATGTGCTTATTACTGTAAATAATAAAAATTTACATGCTATGCCTTATAAAAGAAATTCCTAACATTTTGGTGTATTGGTTTGAGATTAGATGAAACCAAAGAAAACTAAGAGAGACAAGTTCTCAGTAAATGAGGACTAAATTGAGAAATTTGTTGGGAGAGTAGCATTTTAGTAAATGAAGGATTTTGGAAAGATATTTTCAAGGCTAACTTGTACAATAAATTTGTCTCTGATCCACTACATGCAAATCATATGTGTGTGTCAAATCAAGATTAAAGTAAACTAAAAAAATAAATAAATAAAGAGTCAGAAGTCCTATAGCCCTCAGAAAACTTGTGGAAAAAATCCCCAATGAGCTTATTTTTAGAAATCACTTCCTAATTTATTTGGTATTAAGTGGATTTGTAAAAACTAAATTTTATTAATAGGTTTGCTATATTAACTCCCAAATATATTTGTGATCCCTACACCATTTGTAGTAAAAACAGGGTGCACACCGAAAATATAAAATATACATGGTAGTTAACTGACATACATTAAAAGAATTCCAGTTGGAGACTTCTGCTTCTAGCTATGAGGAAATAGCTTATAATAGAACAAACACTTCTGTCAAGAATAATTATAAAATATGAATAAAGTAAAAAGAAAAATTTTTTATTTTTTTAATGTGTATTTAATTTTGAAAGAGAGAGAGAAAACAAGCAGGGGAGAGACAGAGAGAGAGGGAGACACAGAACCTGAAGCAGGCTCCAGGCTCTGAGCTGTCAGCACACAGCCTGATGCGGGGCTCAAGCCCACAAGCCATGTGATCACGACCTGAGCTGAAGTCAGACACCCAACTGACTGAGCCATCCAGATGCCCCAAAAAAGAAAAAAGTTTGAAAACATGTGAGAGCAACCACAGCAATCAGGACTGAAGAGACTTGAAAAGCAAGAAACCACATTGAAAGGAACCTCACATTCTGTGCCACTTTTGCCATTGAGGTATTTTTCAAACTCTAAGCTCTGCAGAATAAGAGCATAAGAAACTAAGCGGGAATTGGTGGGTGAGAGGCCAAAAAGCCAAACAGTTTTTACCAGACACATACTGCTGAGGAGACAGAAATTGTACTTCAGAGACTATCAAGGTGGAGGGCCTAATCCAAGCTTTTATATGAGACCCCTAAAAAGGGGAAAAGAGGAAAAGGGGAAAAACATATCAGCTCACTAATACAGAAATCTGAAGCATCTTTTCTTTTTAATTTGTTTAATGTTTATTTATTTTTGAGACAGAGACAAAGTGCAAGCAGAAGAAGGGCAGAGAGAGAGGGAGACACAGAATCCAAAGCAGGCTCCAGGCTCTGAGCCGTCAGCACAGAGCCCGACGCGGGGCTCGAACTCACGGACTGCGAGATCATGACCTGAGCCAAAGTCAGACACATAGCTGACTGAGTCACTCAGGCACCCCAGAAATTTGAGCCATCTTCATTACTGATTGGATTAAGATGTTCTTTCCCAAATCTTTCTACATGCTAAAAAAAAAAAAAAGTAAATGGTCTTGAAAGGAAGATATCATTAGCCACAATCTCTACAATAATATTTAGTTAAAACTTTATTCAATATGAAAGTAAATGAGGCTAAATGAATGAAAATAAAGAGAAGAAACAGTCAACATAAACAGACCTCAGGTCACCATGCTATTCGTATTATCAGGCACAGACTTTACAATTATAGGGATTAATATATTTTTAAAATAAACTATAGGATAAAGAATTTCAAACAAAATGATAATCTATACAAAAAGTTAAATAATAATTCTAGAATTAAAAATACAATAACTGAAATTAATAATGTAATAAACAGTTTAACAGCCAATTATATGGAATAAAAGTTGTGATTAGTAAAACAGAAGGTATACCAGTATGAAATAACCAGGTTATTTCATAACCTAATCCAAACTTTTATTAGGATTAGGTTGACAAACCGTTAGCCAGATATATACAAAGGAGAAACAGGCCTTGGAACATCATAGTAAAAGTGCCGAAGACAAAACACAAAGAGAATATACTAAAAGCATCACAGAGTAAAAGACATTGCCTTCAAAGTTGTACATAGCAGATTGATAGCTAACTCTCCAAAGAAAGTACGAAAGTGAAAAGACACTGGGATAACATCTTTAGGTGATGAACAAAAACAACTGGCCACTTAGAATTCTATATACCAAGCAAAGATACCCTTGGAAAATGAATGTCAAATAAAGATACTTTCAGCCGCACAAAAACTGAAAGAATACATTGCCAGCACACTCACATAAAAAGAAACGATGGAATTTCTTTTTCACGCTAAATAAAAATGAGGAAAGCATAGAAATATGGAAAGGCCTGAAGAGCATTGGGCAGAGTAAATATTTAGCTATTTTTAAATCATATTAACTTTAAAAAGCCAGGAAGCAGTAAATGGAGGTAGAGTATTCTCAGGGGCTCACTGCTTATGAAATTATGAGAGCTCTAATTCATAGCAGAAAATTGTAAAGAAATCACATAAGTTACGAAGACAATGACAGACAACCCTACAAAACTGAGCAAAAGATTTGAATACGACCACCAAGAGAAAAAAAAAAAAAGAAAAGTATACAGAAATGGCCAATATATATTTAAAAGACCAAACTCATTAGGCAACATATAAATCCAACTGACATGATGGAGGGGCTACTACCTTTCTATGCCAAACAGAATGGCTAAAATTAAGGCTTGAAATATCAAGTACTGATGAAAATGTGAAGCATCTGGAATACTCATAAGCCTCTGGTGGGAGTATGAATTAGTACAACCACTATGGAAGACTACTTGGAATTATCTACTAAAGCTTCTCATCTGCCTACCAACGGCCTAGCAGTTCCAAATATACCCACCTGTTTATATATGTTCACCAAAAGAAATACAGAAATGTTTATAGCAGAACTATGTGTAACACCATAGAGAAAAACTGGAAATAAGCCAAACATTCATCAATATGGACACACAAGTTTGGTGTACTCATACACTGGAATGCTACATGGCAATGAAAATGAACCCTACTGCTAAATGAAGCAGCACTCTAGCAAATGAAATGTTGAGTAAGAACGAATGAGACACAAGAAGTACGTACTGTAAAGTTCTTCACATAAAGTTAAAAAACAGGCACAATAATCTATGGCGATGGAACTAAAAAGAGTAGATACCTCTGTGGTAAAATCACTGAGAAGGGGAATAAGAGTGATTTATGGGGTGATGTCATACTCTGTTTCTTGATCTGTGTGGTGGTTAGAGAGGATGTTCACTCTGTAAAAATGTATTGATCTGTGCATTTTTGATTTTTTGCACCTTTCTGTGTGTATGTTACACTTTGTAAATGGGTTGACTTACAAAGAAAGAAGCCCAAAATTCAAAAAGAGGTGAAAAATAAACCCAAAATATAAAACCTCAGAGAAAAACAAGAGGAAATTTCCCGAGAAGCCAATCCAACATATCACTTTACACACACGCGCGCACACACACACACACACACACACACACACACACAATCTACCCACAGCCTTCACAAACAACCATTTGGTTCACTTACTTTGAGCCAAACCTCCTCCTCCCTCTCCAGGCTACCTTCTGTCTGCTCACTCCTTTTATTCTGAGGTCTGTTTCCATTGGTGACACAGGGAAACCAGCCAGTGAGAGGACGGTGCTCTGGTAAATCTGGATGGTATGACGTGCAAATCTGAAATGTAATTTCAATCAAAAATTAAATGTATAAGGTGAGAGAGAAGTAAATACAATGACTCTGTAGCTCAAAACCAAAGTTTTCCTCTCTTTCTGAGTGCCTAATGATCACACTATTGGCAGAAAACTTTTCTCTAAGCAGAAGAATGTCTCAATGCTCTCTGTTAACCTCAAGATATAATTTACCTGGGTAGAAAAACACACATGATAACTCTCAGCCTACCATCAACCCAGATATCTTGCCCAAAGAACAGTCCTGGAACATTTTAGGCAACTGCTCCTAGAATTAGCCATAGAAGTCTGTCCAGGATGATGGTTATATCCTTACTGGGCAGGATCCACCAGTCCGAGGAGTGAGGCTACTGAGTCAGAAACCATTAAGATTCAGCTGGGTAAAGGAGTCAGGGAACAGAAACACCAGAAAATTTCTCCACTTAATACTTAAGGAAGATAGACAAGCTAGACTAAAAGCCACTTCAGAGAGCTGTTACTAACTCAGAATCTCCCGACTTTCCTGGCTTCCTGTCACTGGGCACCAAGAACTCTTGAGAAAGATGCCAGATTTCACTGAAAAAGTGTAGTGAACATTGCTAGCCGCCTCCCCATATCCATTTCCCCTTACTTTCTTATTAGGAAACCCTGATTTTGTTCAAGGTGGCAGTAAATCCAGTTATAAATGCTCATCTCCTCAGAGACCTTTACAACAAAGCGTGATGACGTGACCTGGATGTGACCGATGAGATGTTGGTGGAAGTCTATAGTGTTAAACGTCCAGAAAAGCTGCCATGATTGTTTCCCAACAAAAAGGGAAAGACTCAGTTAGCATATACGTACTTCCTGTGAACTTCCCCCATCTTCCTGCCTGAAATGCTGACTTCATGCCTGGTGGAATCATCTTATGAATAGGAGGAAGAAAGCTGCAAGCCAAGGATGGAAAGAGCTAGAATCTAGAAGATTCCAAGGTCCTTGAGGAGTCTCTTGAACTAGAGCACCAACTCCTGGCTAGTTTCTCAATCTCCTGGGGGTCTCCTGAAGTATACAATGCAATGATTTCATCCTGGCCTAAAATACCAACAGAGCTAAATCACACTTCCATTGAAATGATGGTATTGCTTATTGTTATGATGAATGGAAGAGTTTAGTTGGCAATGGTTGCATCTGGAATAGTACCCAAAAGCCAAAGCCCTTAATCTTCTTTTCAGTATTCAACTCTAATTCATAGATGTCAGTCCTTAAAGTCCTTGGAGGATCTCCTATTTATTTAGGTGGATATTCATGGAAAATTGTATACCAGAGGATTTGTTTTTAGTACTAGCTCTAGAATTTCTTCAATAATAACAGTCCTTTAAATCAAGTTATACTTTGATCTTTAATATACTTTAAATTTCATTTGATCCTTGTGATAAACCATTGAGTTAAATGCAAAAGTTATTATTATCCCCATTTTACATATGAGAAAATTGGGGCCCAGAGAGGTTAAGTGACCTGTCAAACCTCGTTTAGTGATAACAGTAGTAATACCAGTGAATTCAATATTGTAATCCAGGCATTCTGACTCTTTGCTACTTCTTTTTCTTCTTGTAAAATAAATTCTCCCGTATAGAAAGCCCTAGTGTAATTTCTGATATTTGTACATCTAAAGTTAATTTTGCGATGCTTCTCTGTACCTTGGAATCAGCGATTGTACAGCCAAATGTTCCTAGATGAAAACTAGTAAGGGTAAGTGGGGTAAGGGAGGTGTGGGGGTGGGGTGGGGGAGATGAGATTTAATTGCTAGTCCAGAAATTTTTCATTTAATGTTACCTTATTCCGAGTTCAGTAGGGACTAAATTTGATGTCAAAGACAGGAAAGAAATGTAAGCCCCCCCATAAAGCACATGAGAGAGAGAGCCCCTTTACAATTCTGCTCAGCCTTCACTCCATTCTTCCGGCTTGATTTACCATGGAATGAGGTTCTCCAGTTACCAAGGAAGCAGGACACTTCTTGTCTTCATGAGAGGAATAAGCTTGGGCGGCCCACTGATCCACATATCCTTTGGGAGTATAGAGGCCACAGTCTATGATGCTGGTTTCCTTCTCAAAAGGTTCACATATCCCATCTCCCTCATATATGTAACATAGGCTTGGCTCCCCTGGCAAGAAATATTGTATAACATTTCAAAAAGTGTTCATAGATGTCATGGAAAACTCATTGCATTTTTTCTCAAGTCCACAAAAGAAAATGCTGTTACTGCCAGCTAGCTTAATACCCACCCCAAACATACAGACAAAACGATGTGCGTGCACACACACACACACACACACACACACACACACACACCTTCCTAAAGAAGAAGGATTCTTCATGGGGAGAGGAGTAGAATCCATCTCTATAATAGAAGGTATAGAAAGCAGTGGGATTTGTGAATAAAGAATAGCGAGAGAAAAGTAACCGTAGGCCGGAGGTAGAAAGAAATTTGAAGGCATCATTAAGCAAGATCCTGAGGGAAGGAGGGGATATAAGAGTAGAAGGTAAAAGAAGAAAGAGAAGTTAAAGAAATGGTATGATGGGCTATGTACGTGGATCCCCTTCATGGTTCTTGAAGTAGTAAAGTATTTGAGGGATTTGTTTTCCATTACTCTTTGTGGCTGAATCGTGTTTCCTCAACTAACTGCGTCACTGCTCTGAAAGAGACAATACGGGCACTGGGTTTTCAAGGCTTACATGCCTCTTCTTTCCTTTCGTCTTACAACAACCATGCGGGGTGTGCATTTTTTGTTTGTGTCATAAATAAGGAACATTTTGCCACAGGTCCCTTGATACGTAAGTAATAGAGCTTGGATTGGAGCCAGGCTCACAGAAGGTGGGCGCAGTGGGGTCTCTATCAAGCTGAGGCCGAGGCACTGCCTTCAAGAGCAAACAAGTGAGGAGCGAATCTGTAAGAAAACCTGCTGGAGTGTTAGCAAGCGAGCTTGTATTCCCTGGACAAGTTCCACACTTGCTCACCAGAAAACTCCTCCTAAGTGAATAGTACCAACTACAGACATGTAAACTAGCTTTCTTCAAGTGTGGAAAGCTGAGGTACAGTTAGAAAGCCACTTACTGAGTTCTGGTCCGTTTTCTACCAAAACGTAGGACAATTAACATTAGTGGCACGATTCTAATGTCCTATTTCTACTTTAAGTAATAGGACAAGATGACAGGACCAAGATTTGGAAACATAGCAACGTATAGGTATACATTCAGTAACATCATTACTAAAATTCACTGTTACTATACCATTCTTGTTATTTTTAATTCTTCACAGCAATACCACAGGGATGCTGAAGTAATTTTTTCAGTGGCTCATCAACATGTAGCTACTAATTATTTTCCTTCACAATTTCTTCCAGTCTAAGGCCCTTCTGCTGTAAATCTGTCTCTACTTGCCAGGAATAAGCCAATGTTCCCAGGACGGGGTTCTAAGCTTATTTGGGGTTTTAAACTCCTGCATTCCATCCAACCCATGGCCTTCCCAAATCACTCCCCCAAACCCAAAGCCAATATATGTACATTTGGAATGACTTTCCCATGATGATTTCTCTCTCTCTCTCTCTCATATATATGCATATATATGTATTTACACATGTACATGTATTCATGTACATAAATATGTGTATTTAATATATATGTTTGCATTTATGTATATATAAATGTATTTTATATTATATTTTATAATGTACATATATATATATGTCTTGTTTCTCTATTTATAACACTGAATATTTCTTCTTGCTTCTATTTTTTTCACCATGGACTTAAAATTTTTGCCTGTTTTTTCAAGTCCATCTAAAAACAACAGGCCATTTAAAAATATATATATATTTCACCATGGTCCCTTCAATCCTAATTTTTGAGAAATAATGGAATATAACTATATGCTGCGCCATGCTATGAGCATATTATACAATGAAACAGAAGTCTAACTGTGGAATGGATCATCTTAGCCTTACCCTGTAAAGTTAAAATAACTTAGATGCAGTCTTACTGGATTTGGAGGCTAAGGAAACAGGAGCCAAGTTTAATGGGATCGAATGTGTTAGAAACAAAACAAGGTGTACTGTTAAGTTAAAGGAGGCTTGAGCTGTACTGGAGGAGCCACAGCATTAAGAGAATACATGTGTGCGTGTATGTGTGTATTCAATGAGCCCATTATGTTACCACACACACACACGCACTGCAAACAGAGGTGGCATTAACAAATACTTGTGTACAGAAAAGGGGAGGTAATCGGTTCGGTGTATTCTGTACAGCCAGACCACATCTGGAGTATTGAATTCCTTTCTGGGCATTGACCACATGAAACATGCCAGGTTAGGGTAAATAGGAAAGGGTCTGGAAACCTAATCACATGAGGGGATGTTTGGATTGGAAAGGAGAATAATGGGGAGGCATTTCAAATATCTGAATGGTAGTCAAATAAAACAGGGAAAAAATTATCCTCTGTAGTTTCATAGCAGGGCAAAAGCACTTGATTAAGCATGAGGAAAGCTGGGCTCCAGTGCTGGCCCTTCAGAGCCTCCTTATATGCCTGTGGATTAGTCACTACAATGCTCTGAGCCTCAGTTTCCAAACCGGAGAAGAGGAGAAGGATCGTATTGCAACAGATAAAGCCATTCTTAAGTAGAGTGGTGCATTTCAAGATGTGTCCTTCACTGCTAGAAGTATGTAAGCAGAAGCTAGAGGCCTCTCTCTCAAGAACTGGCAGAAGAGATTTCTACACAGGAAGGAGGCCAGACTCCAAATCCCAGTTAGACTGCACACATGAAGGGAGCAGGGCCTCTATCAGACTCATGGTACCTGGCGGGCACTGCCTATGTTTTGTTAGATGGACGGATGAAAGACTCCTAAGATTCTATAATTTTGTGAATCTACTCTAGGTAGCAGGAGAATTTGTGCGTCCTGTACAGTATTTTACACCTTAATTATACATTACAATCATATCCTACTTTACCTTGTGATTTAGAGGCATTAAGATATTTTTCAAAGCATCACTCTTTACAAAATTTTGGCGAATGGTTACGTTCCACAGAAACACTGCAACGTATACAGATGGGAGTAAAAAAATAATAATAATCTACATGTAAGGAGCCCATTGATGATGTCTTTAACCAGAATTGGGAGAAGTTTCCTAGATGGTCTTCCTGCATGGCAAGAACCTAGAGTCAAAGCCACCTAGTGATAACTTATTGCTAGTGATTTGCCGGGATTAAGCAGTGTTAGGACTCCCCGTCATCAGTCATTATCTTACCTATGAAACACAGCCGCCAAGAGGTATCTTGCAGTCTCTTTGGCTTAGAATGTTTCCCGCACTGATTTTTATATAAAACCTCTGATTGTGCTGCTTGGCTGGTGTTTTGGTGGTAGACATGAGGACCCAAGGGCAATCCTTGGTAACATTAATCAAGGAGGCAGTGTACCCCAGTGGTTTATATTTAGATTCTAGAACCTCACTTCCTTGGTTCAAATCCCATATTATTTAAGCTCTCTGCACCTCAGATTGATCTCCTCATAGTTCATGTAGGGATTAAATGAGATACTACAGGTGGGGTGACTGGGTGGCTCAGTCAGTTAAGTGTCTGACTTCAGCTCAGGTCATGATCTCACGGTTCATGGGTGCAAGCCCCGCGGGGGGCTCTGTGCTGACAGCTCGGCGCCTAGAGCCTGCTCTGGATTCTGCATCTCCCCCTCTCTCTGCCCCTCCCTTTTTCATGCCCTCTCTCTCTCTCTCTCTCCTCTCAAAAATAAACATTAAAAAAAATTTTTTAATGCGATACTATAGATGAAAGTTAGTGCCCGCCTGGCACACCACAGACACATCAAATGTCATTGTTGTTATCATTCAGCTATATGTTATAGGATATCAAAAGCTCAAGGAAATAAGACACGGAGACACCTGCAGAAACAGGACATAAGCCTAGGTGGTGGTCCTCCACGCACCTGCGCAGTGGAAGCCTTCCTCCAGCTGGCATGCCCTTGAGCAGCCATCTCCGCTCAGAAGGTCCCCATCATCACATTCTTCTCCCAGGCTCCTGGAAGGTCAGAACATACATTCTTATATACACACAGGCATAAAATAGTTTTCTTTTAAATTATTAAAATCCCTCATTATACATTAAAAAGTGCAAGCTGGAGAAAAGCAGGCGCTAAGAGAATGCTCTTACATAAAGAGTAGCTCACATCTCAGAAACATCTAGGAGATCCACGGGGGTCCTTCCAGGGTTTCCAGTAGATGGCATTAAGCTAGAAAAGGCCTGCCAGCCCTATGATGAGTGAAATCTTAAAAACAGCTGGTTTGGTGAGGAGGAAACCTGCCTGTCTATATGTTGTTCTGTTTTCTATTCTCTTTTATCTGATATTTCTTTGTGTTTTCATTGTTTTATTCTATCTAGACACAGTTGCTATTAAAGTTAGGGTTTTGTAAGCTTGAAATCTTCTGTTTTATATACCAAGAGACTCAGCAGCCTGATTGCTGCCTGGTCTCCGTCCAGGGCAAAGCTAAGGCCCCGTCAGGTCCTGACTCCCTACTACCACCTGGTGGCAGCTATCATATATTGCAGGGGAGAAATAAATACTGGGAGAAGAAAAATGTCATCGTTTTGTTTTGAACCTGAAAAGCTGGACGCAGCTGGTGACTAATTTGGATTGGGGTGGGAGAGTTAGTTTAGACTGAGGGCTACAGGAAGCATGTTATGGGAACAAAACAGGTAACACAGATGTGGCCATTGTAAAATGGATGGAGGGTTACCGTTTTTTTCTTCTTGACTTTGCACCAAAACGGACACATATTTTAACTCCAGTAGACAAAGCGTTTGGGCATGCTAACGTGCTTTCAGATGAGGACATAACTAATAGCTCTAACCATTGTCTAAAGCGTGCCTCCCCACAGGGATGGAGTAAAGATTAAGTTATTGGATATGAGAATGCTTTCATATGAATTAAAAGCATGTTATGAACGTAATTATATAATAATGTGTTAAATGGTACGATGCCAACGGAGAAAGGATAACAGATATGAAAAACAACATGATTGAAGAAATCAAGGAAACTTCAAATTTCCTCTTTCTTGGAAGATAAGCCAGCTGAGGCACTGCTACCCAACAGAAAGATGAGCGTCACACACATCATCTTTCATTTTCTAGTAGTCACGTTAAAAGAAATAGGCGGAATTAGTTTTAATGATACATTTCATCAAACTCGAGACATCCAAAATAGTGTCATTTTAGTAATGTAATCGGTATGAAAATGATTAATAAAGCACATTACATTCTTTTACACATCCCACATCTTTGAAATCTGATGGGTATTTTTCACTTACAATACATCTGGGTCCAAACACTTGATCTGTATTTAGATTTCATAAACTCTATTGTTGGAAAAGTAGATTCATCTACCCAAGTTGTTCCAAATATATTTAAAGGTTTTCTGATAACTGAATCAAGTTAAGTTTTTAAATTAAATTTAAACTACTTAAAATTAAATAAAATTCCGTTTCTTGGCTGCGCTTGCCACACTTCCACATGTGGCTCGGATGTCCCACATGGGCAGACTGAGATGATCGCTTCCAAATAAATGTGGCTCACAAGTCCAGGGCCTCCACAGTGTTTGCTCTGATGGTCTTACTGTGGTGTTATCCAGTGTGACAAAAATATATTATAACTAGTCTCAGGATGACTTCTGGGGCATCTGTGATCCCCTTAGATTGAATCTATACATTTGTCAAGCTTCAAACAGTGGGTTAAACAATTTGCATGGCTCCTTCTTGCTGTGTGTGGAGTGGAGGCCCTGCCTCTGGCTGAGACAAAGCTGTAATTCACAGGTTTCTTCCCACTGGGTGGTGAACCATTTATGACTCTTTATAGGGAGGGAATACAGGCAGGAAACAGGAATGTTTGGACGAGGAAACTTGTGAGGACGAGGAAACTTGGCCCAGCAGCCAAGCAGATGCTGCTTCAGGTAAAGCTGTTTCAAGGCACAGGAGAGAAGGTGCAAGAGCAAGTTGGGAAGGGCTCTTCAGCCCTTCCTGTCCCCAGACCCCCAGGCAGAGGTGGCATCCTGGGGCCTCCAGGCAGCCACCATCAGAGAAGTGCGGTGGGAGATACCTAGGGCAGAGTGTTTTTCTCAAGGAGGCTTCTGCCTGGGTAGTCCTGGTAACCAAGCCTCCCAAACACCTTAACTGGTGGGCGGCAGACTTCGAAAGAGGTGGCCAGAGCAGGGAGAGCATCAACAGCAGCCAACCTTACTCTGTGCACAGAGCCCCGGGGAGGAGCCCAGCAGAGACGGAGGAAGCTGGGTGCAAAGCTGAGACCGCGGTAGGCAGGGGTAGCAGCCAACTAGCAAGGTCGGGGTATCGGCGAGGTTTGCCTTACACCAAAGGTTAAAATCTTTGAACAGGCAAAGAAACAGGCAGTGTTCAGTGACAGCTAAGCAATGCGATGGGCTCCCAAGAAAGGCTACAGAACTGCTTTCTACTAGGGCGTCAGGATACTATGTGTTTTCACCCAGTCTGGGAAATTAAAAAGAGGCCATCTTATTAGCATGCAGAATCTAAGACACATCACAGCGCCTGGCCATCCGGTCTCCTACTGCCACAGTTCTATACAACGAACATATCAGGTCAGACGAGCATTCAGGACAGGTTAATACAGGGCGACTGGTGGGACATGGGGGCGTTTTCAGTGCTAGATTTGGAAAAGTCCCGGACAAACCGGCATGAATTAGTCCCCTAGGCTGATACCACAAAAGGGAAACAGAAAAAGGAACACGGTGTGTTAAGAAGGCAAAGTAGTGATTTCATCCTTACCTTGGTAGTTTTACAGAATGGCTGTAAATACACCACAGTCAGGTCTCCTAGGGGTCAAGTGAGCCAGTGAAGCTGAGAACACTATAGGGACTTTCCCCAGGTCACACAGCTAGTCAGGGGTATGGGACAGGACACTGATTCAAAACATACCCTCACCTGGTCTTTTAGCATCATCTGACATATAACCTTCTCCCTTATAAATTCCTTCCCTCAGTCACTGTCAGCACTTGTCCTTTGAAACCTTAAGAGCTGCCTGCCACCCCCTGAATCAGCCCCAGTATCTCAGTACCCTGCAGTGAGCTCTAAATAAAAGTGAGCTTCTCCTCAACTAAGATGTGAGTGATCTCTCAAGATCACTACCAGGTCCTAGATTTTGTTAGATGCTAGAATCACATAGTGCCTCCAATTTCCAAGACAAGTCAAACTGAAACTCAAGATTAACCCTCCTGTTCAGGGTACGGCAGGGCATCCTTGCTCACACATTCCCATGTACCCGCTACTCACCCTGCCACCTTCCCGTCTCCACAGTAAGGAGCTCCATGGATGTGGCTCAGCGGAGGCGAGGCTTCTCCTAGTTCTGTTCCAGCTCCAGCTTGAACTTGGTACCGATACAGCTGCCCAGGTGTGACCTCCCTGTGGAAACCAATGAGCCGTGACCATTACATCCAGAAAGTGAGACGCTGCCCTGGGTCCTTTGCAGATGGCTTGCAGGGGTTTAAAAGAAATATTATGGGGAACATAAATGTTAAACATATGCTACGTTATGTAAATCCAAGTTCGGGCACACAGCCTTACACAGCAGCAGGAGGTTTGCAGACATATTGGTTTCTGTATTCCCAGTATGTCCCACATAGTATACATGCAGTAAATGGTTGCTAGAGAGAACCACCGAATTAACCAACAGTCCTATACAATCTAGGAGGATGGCATTTCAAGTATACCTTTATCGTGTTAAAAAAAACAACCACAAGCCAACTATTGGAAAACCAGCCATCTGCATTCTCGAAGTAATCAAAGACACCGACGAGGAAAGCGTTAGTGTTTGGACTCAGCAGGGTCCTTCCTGGGTCTTCGGGTCACAGTTTTCTTGGGTTTCGAGAGAATTCTTGTCTTAAAGAGTCTGAGTCCTCAGGGGGAAGGACAAACTCTTTCCTAGAAGGAGGGGACAACAGCTTCTGCCATCATTCTTGGGATGCCAAAAATCCCACAACTAGGAATATGTTAAATGACTCCCCACCTGTAGCCCTGCCCAAATTTATATACACCAGGAATTGGGTTTTATTGGTTGACTCCAGAGATGGAAGGGATTTATCAGACTCTCTCTAGAACCTGAGCGCACTGATCAGGTAGAGGCATGAAAAACAGAACATTTAAGTGGGGGTAAGGGACTCAAGAGAGGGCTGCTGTTTCCAAAAATAAACTCTGCCCTTCTCTTAATTTTGCTCAGTGCCTGCCCGATTGGAAAACTCCCACCAAAGTCAAGCTCGAATGGGAGTTACTTAGGAGGACAGGATCCCAGAGGGTTAAGGGGACTGCCATGAATGGCCGCCACAAATCTCCTGCCAACAGCCTCTCCTCCTTAACAGATTCTTCAACTCAGCCACTCTCTTCCTTAATGCCGCAGCCAGCCAACGGGAAATACTGTGGGGTCTCAGAAACATCTTTAAAAACCTCCCTAGTGGCTTTTGATTATTTTAATAGGAAAGACATCTAAATATTAAAGACTTTTCAAGCTCCACATCGGCTTTTTTTAGGGAAACAATCTTCTCACGAGAGTGCCAGATATTTCAAAAGCAAAAGCAATTTTTTATTCTAATCAATTCTGATGGCTCCCTTTTCAGAGTGGTTTCTGTCAGACTTCTCATCCAGCCACGCATAAAAGTCTCACACTGCCCTGCAGCTGGGAAAAGATTGGCCGGGAGCGTCAAAATGTGTTTACGCTTCTTGTGGAGAAACTCAGCAGCAGGTTGCCCGAACCTTCAATGACCTGAGTTTATAAATGGCACCGTGTCACAAAGGAAAGGGAACCAAAACAAGACTCGGTCATAAAACTGGATTTTAATCCTGAGTCTGCCACAGGTAGCTGTTCAACCAAATTGAAGTGAAGTCTTAGTTTTCGCATCCACAAAATGGGGTACGACTGACTTTAAAGGTTGTGTGTGTTTGTGTGTGTGTGTGTGTGTGTGTGTGTGTGTGTGTGTGTGAATGCATGTGTGGATACCATGTTAGATGCCAAAGGTCATTTTAACTGCCTTATTAGAGAAGCTTGAAAACTGATTTTTCTTTTTAAATCTGTCCCATGAGCTCCCCTCTCATTTTCATGAGCTTTGTGCCCATTTCATTGTCCCCCAGGTGTAATTCAGAGAGCAGGTATGACAAGAAAACTGGAGTAAAGCTCAAGGTGAACGTCATCTTCTACTTTCGAGCAGCTATGGTAGACTGCAAATTGGCCTCGGTTCCTTCCGTCCCACGTTCACGCCCCTCCGCAATGTGACGTCGCTATTCCTCCCATCAAGAGACAGAGTCCATTTTGCCGCCCCTTGCGTCTGGCATTGGCCGTGTGACTTGCTGTGGCTAGCGGGACGTCAGCACAAGTAACGTACAAGCAGGTGGGGGCTTGCCCCCCCTGCTGCTGGTGCCCTCCCATCCACCGTGAGGACAAGCCCATGTGAAGCCTACCAGGGAATGAGAGGTCATGGTCGTCTTCGCAGCCCTGCCGGCTGTTTCAGCTCAGCCAACAGGTACAGGAGCTTGACCGGGACCATCTCCGCTGACCACGCCAGTCCAGGTGACAGCACCCAGCCGACCCGAAGGATCATGAAAAATAGTGTTGGTGGGGCACCTGGGTGGCTTAGTTGGTTAAGTATCCGACTCCTGATTTCAGCTCAGGTCATAATCTCGTGGTTCATTGGATCCAGCCCCGCATCAGGCTCTGCACTAACAGTGTGGACCCTGCTGGGGATTCCCTCTCCCTCTCTCTCTCTCTCTCTCACTCTCACTTTCTCCCCCTCCCCCACTCGTGTGCACTCTCTCTCTCTCTCTCTCTGTCTCTCAAAATAAATAAATAAAACTTAAAAAAAAAAGAAAAATTGTGTTTGTTGGTTTAGCCTACTTCATTTTGTGATTATTTTCAACGCAACAAACACTAATCTAGCACCTCTGATACCATTTTTGTTTTACCCCAAGTTCTGGGCAGTCTCTGAGGAAAGTTATAAGGCGGGGGTAATGTGCCTTTGGGGATACAAACCTTCTCCTTTAGACCTTGAACTCTTTGGCGCCAATGATCTTACCTTACTTAGTCTGTGTTACCAGCACTGAGCACACAGTGCCAGGAACACAGCACAACTCACTAAGCGTAGAAGGAACAGAAGAAAGAGAAAAGGGAGCTGGAAGGGAAAGAGAGAGAGGGAAAGAGGGAGGAGCAAAAGAGGGAAGCGTGAAACACACATCAGGAATGAGTCTTGAAATGAAGGTGTGCCTGCAGGACACTTGGCTTCCTCGCTCAGCTATGAAGAGTTAACTACCGTCTTCAAATGGTAGAGGAGCTGTGGCAGATTATCCAAAAGTTACAGCAAGGATCAGAAATTAAATTGTGTCACTAGACAGCAGTCGACTCTGATCAACTTATTTGTGGCAAATACTTTCAGTCCAGCAGAAGCACCTCAGAGAAGAACCTCTTTTTTTTTCCATGATCCTAATGATGGCAACATTACTCAGAATACTTGCTCGCCCCTTCCTGGGAAATATTTTTCTTCATCTCAGATACGCCACTTTAGAATAAAATCCCCTCTGGGATTCTGAACATTTCTCCAGCTAATGGCATGTTGGAATGGAAAAAAGTGGGAAAGGGGAAGCAAGACCCACTCCCAAAGCCCCAGGAAGCCCCATGGTTTAGAAAGCCCTACTGCCCAACTCACACGTCCGTGAACTTCCTGTGAGGATTTGTCACCACCATGGGCAAGCCATTGGCAAATGGGGGCTCACGAAGAACCTGGTACCTCACAGGCCTGCAGCCAGAGCACAGGGGACTATGGGGCTGGGAAGTTAGCAGAGCTGCGTCAATCTCCATCCGCTCATCAAAGGTGTAGACCTTCACCCCAGAGACCTTCCCGTCCACATGCAGTTTGATAGTGAGTGGGGTGTCACAGAAAGTGTCTAAGGGGCCCAGGTGCACAGACTCCTGGTGTTCCAGCAAGATCTCCGTGTCAAAGAGTGCCTGGGAGGAGTCCATGGAGAGGTAGGTGACCCATAGGGTAAGGGTGTCAGCTTGGACCGGGTGCTGGAAGAGCAGCTCCAGGCTACAGCCTTCCGAAGGGCAGGGGACCGTCATGTTCATATGGTACAGGTGGAGCTCGGGACTCCAGGCCTGCAAGCTTGGCTCACAGGGCTGGTCCACGTCTGGAGGCCCTGAGGGAGGTGAACAGAAAGACAGATGCATCAGGAACTGCCATTAAGTCTAAAAATGAGTAGCTCACATGAGCAACCAGAAAGAAGAAAGAAGAGAGCTTTGAGCCAATCCCCACAGAAGTTGGTCGACGTCGTGGGGTAGATCTTCAGTCCTAATGAGGACAAACATGTGACAATTTAGAAGTATTGTGTCTTGCTCCATACCCCTATACATGGGGCCTCTAATAAGCGTAGTCCAGCAAGGCTTCCAGAATGGAGCGGGCCCACGTGGAAACATGAAGCTAATGCAGACAAGGTAAGTCATGTCCTTAAAGAGTCCTTGATCAGAGGAGAATTATTTGTACTGAGTTTATTAATAATGTATGATAAATCAATGCTTCTGAAACCCTGTTTTATTTATTAATAAGGCCAATGTTTGTTTCGGTCCGTCACTACATTTTGTTTAACTAGGCTCTCCGCAAAACTTTTTTCATTCCCTAAGATCACACCTTAGCAGTCCTTCCAAATGACTTTTAGCCGAATTTTACAACCATACGTTGAGATTTCCCTTTTAGTTCAGGTATGAGCAGTTAGGTCACTGCATGGAGGAAACTGCAGGCAGGAAATAGAAGCATGTATTTCTGATTGGGGAGAAAAATAGATATTCAGTAGCTAAGCAAAAAAGGGACGGTCAAAAATCAAATATTGCAAATATATTAAGGTCAGTTCTGTGAAAATAATCTATACAAATGGTGTTCTTTCATATCACACAAGGGGAAATTCAGAAAAAAGTGCTAAATTAGAATCAGCAGAGTCACAATCTAATTGGTGCCATGCCATTAGCTGTGGGACCATGGTAAGTCTTTATAAGCCTCAATTTCCTCACTGATGAAATAAGCACTATTTAACCCCTGGGTTACTAGGTTAGTGTGAAAGACCTATACAATGTTCCATGGAAACATTTGCAAATTACATTTGCAAAAACAGAATTATTTAGCCCTTCAGAGTTTGGAAAATAAAGAATGCTCCAAAACCCAGAGGAGACAAATTCAAATGTGTGTGTGGGGTGTGTGTGTGTGTGTGTGTGTGTGTGTGTGTGTGTGTGTGTGTTACGTCTCACAGTCCTTATTATCTTTGGCCTGTACTGTAAATCCATTCATTCATTTATTCATCCATTCAACAAAAAATGACTGTGTACCTCCTTTACACCTAGCACTGATCTGGGCATCAAAGAAAGATAAGCAACAAAGATTAAGTCATAATTCTCACAATAGGGTGATAGGGCACAATACTAGACAAAGTGGTAATGGCATCTTTGAAGAAAAATGAAAAAGGATAAAAGGCTAGAGAGGGATAGGGTCTAATTTAGATTACAGAGCCAGGAGTTCATTCCAGAAAGATATTTAAGCAGGGAATGTGGTTCCATTTTCTCTTCTTCATTGCATTTTAGAAAGTAGTTGGTGGTCAGTAAGTGTTCGTTAAGTAGGTTTGGATCGTATCTGTAGATATGCGTGTTTGTGCACACTCTGCCGGGGAGTCAATCACTTTCATTGTGTATATTTTAAGTACGACTGGGTTCTCCATCTTTTCAAAGCAAAGGAAGACCAGTATTTCTTAGTGGTATTTTCCAATAGCTGTCCCCAAAATATTAGCCAAGTAAAACCCCTTGGAAGCCAACCCAACAGCACCACCGTCTCAGAACATTTTTATCATGATCTCATGGTAAGACAGGAAGCGGAGGCCTTGAAAGCTGATTTGATTTGCCTCAAGACACGACTCAACAATTAGAACCCAGACCTTCTAATTCCTTTCACCTCTACCACATAACTTTAAAGTCTGCCAAGAATTAAAAGGAGAGAAATTCAGAGCCAGGGAGTTGAATGGCCGTTAAAACACTAGTACAGGACAATCTGTTTGCCACAGAAAAGACTTTTTATGAAATGCCAATCTCCACATGAGTCCAACACAATGCCAATGTGAATTTCAGAGTCGTTTTCCATTCTTCCTTGAAAACTCACATCTGAAAAAAGTTCTATATGTCCAATCAGAATCAAGTACAATGTCTCCCTCCCAATTTCTCCTTGAGGCTCCCGTCATTTGAGTGACTGGGAGCTCAAAGGGACATGTTACAGACACTGTTGACTCTAAAACCACTGTCCTTTTTCTTTTCTTTTTTCTTTGTCAGAATCAAGAGTGCAAACTAACTCAAACAGGACTGTGTCCAATTCATCTCACTAAGCAGTTTTCATGATCTTAATAAATACAAGAAAAAGAAAAAGATGACAACGAGGTAAACACTGAAGATGATGGAGATGGAAGAACTCAGGCCATTCAACGGAAGGTGCTAAAACCCCTGTCAACAGCATTTTCCGGACTTGAACTAGGATAACATTTATGCTTGAATTTGTCCTAGAGGCCTTGCTATACGTATGTGAGTGAGTATTAACTGAGAAGTATGGTGAGGACCAGGAAAAGGGACAGCTAAAAACACTTTCCCCCTCCAAGAGTCTAGGATGTAACTTAGATCACATCCAAAGCACAACCAGTACCCCGTGATTAATGGACTCATAAAATAGCATAGATGAGAACGATCAGTTTGGAACACCTAGTCCACCCCACCCCCACCCCCACCCAGACTGGCTTGGGCCGAACGTCGGTGTTCCCTGCAATGTGTTCTCTATTACTCTCCTGATAGAGATCAGCTTACACTGTTATGTGGCAAGGCAGCTCTGTGGGCTGGTAGGGGTGCGTAATACTGAACGCCTGAGCTCTCATCCTGAAGTCACCCCCTGAGCTCAGCCGTCCTTCTCCATCCCTCTGTCCTCTATGCTGACCTCTGCTCTGCCACAGCCATCGGGCCTCCATGCTAAGCACACGTGGGACACACGAAGGTACCAGACAGTCTTTCCCAGGCCCCTGGAGACACATCCAGCAAACCACACACACACACACACACACATACACACACACACACACACACACGGGCTCCCTTCTTCTCACCATGCCACTGCTCCCCCCTTCCCCCCACCCCCATCCTCAGCAGCCACCAGGTATAAACAAAAAAGCTATGGTGCTTTACCCACAGCCTCCTCTGGAGTCCAGTAACCTGAGGAGTCACACACACGCCGGGAGGAAGCTGCGTGCACGTACTGACGGAATGTCCCATCTTCAGCGCAGGCACCACACACGCTGCCTGGGACCCTGGGAAGATGAAGGGGGAAGGGACACAAGGAGAAGTGGTCAGGTGAACTGGGATCACAAAATTCGAAATTTGGAAGGCCTCTGGGGACGGGGGAGTGGCGATGGGTAGTGAGGCCCCGGGGGGTAACTGGGAACACAACTGTTTCTCAACTCATTTCCTTCTGGGGTAGACCTCCTCTTTTAAAAATTCATAGTGACATGAAAATCTCAAGGTTATGAAGCAGAAGAATTTAACTAAGTCATAAAGGAGGCCTGTGGAGATGAAAGCGGACAGCTTCTATCCTAGGAACATTCAACCCAAAATAATTATGATCTGATCTTTCAGCATAAGACCCCTAACTAGGCTGACTTTTAATAACCCATCCCAAGACCCCTTCCATTGCTCCCAACTAAAACAGACAGCAATTTTCAGAGTAAACTCATTAACTATATGTGGCCTTATGTTTTAAACTCCTCACTTGATGTATGAAAGTCATGTGAAATGTGATGCCCCCTGGCTCTCCATCGCCTGTGTGAATACCTCCAGATTTCTTACCATGATCCAAGGTTCTTCACGAGCTAACTCCAGCCTTACTCACTTTCGTTCCTTTATGAACTTATGTCCCCAGCACAATGAACTCATCACCATTCCTCAAATATACAGCCCTTCTCACAGCTCTGTGAAACATGCTCTTCTCTCTCCTGAAAAAATAGCCTTTTAAAGCTTCTCTGCTTAACAAACTCCTATTCATCCTTCAAAGCCCCTTCACATGTAACCTCTGCAGTGGTATTTATGTCTACTCTTCTGCCTGGCAGGCGCTCTCTCTCCTCTACGCACCCAGTGCAAGTTCTGGCTCCTGTCTCAGGGCAGGACATTCCCGTTCTCTCCTTTGCCTCTGAGCAGGCCCAGACCAAGTTCTAGTCTTTCTATGCCCAGCAGTTAGCATAGGGACTGGCTTCAGCCATCCCTCTGTAAGAGCTTGTTTTATGAGCATCCCTGAGACTATCAGCACACTCTACAAGGAGCTCTTCAACAGCCAGATGACAAGGTGAGAGCACTTGATGAGGCTCATCTCTGATACTTAGAATCTTTTTAGAAGCCCAGCTGGGCATCTGAAAATGGAGGCATTAAGCCAAGGTCTCTCCCAGCTAGAGAGAGAAAATGAATACCGTGTAATAGACTAGAAAAATAATATGATTGTTAAATAGAGATAATAATTATGCGATTGGCTCCCTTTTCTTCCAAGCTCCCGTTTTTAAGCACCTTATATACCTGGCGTGGTGCCACAAGGCGCTTTTCATAAATCATTTCTAATCCCTACAAGAACTCTTGTGTTTACAAATGAGGACACTCAGGCTCAGAGAGATTAAGTCAACTGCCTAAGGTCACAGCAAGTTCCTTAATTCCTTTCCGCAAGTTCCCCCAAACCATCCAATGTCCGGGACCTTGGCAATGAAGAGGTGCAGTTAACTCCAACCTCTGACTCGGGTTAGCACCCACTTCTAACGTGGACACAACTCCAAACCACACTTCCTTGATGTACTTGGCCTCTCCAGGGCCGCTGCTGAGTGCGTGGTTGGGCTCCTCTCTGACATAAGAATTCCAAATACCTACTGGGGAGGAGTAAACACAACTCCGAGCGTGACACAAATCGCTGGGTGTGTGACGCGAGTCTCCCCGACATGCATGTTGGGAGGCCTCCACGCTGTGGCCCACCTAGCTGAGAAAACGAAGCAAATTACAGCCTTTTCTGCCAACAGACTCACGGCATGCCAGTACTGATGTCTGCTCTATCGTAACGTTTGTACCAGAGGGAGAATTGAGAGATTAAATTGTTTACGTGTGTTACATAAACTGATATAAAACTCCGGTCTGCACATGCCCACAGGAGGACTTACTGTTCAGCCAGTCCGACTGAAGTTGCACAGGGTCACCCTTGCGGGAAGAGGATTCTTAAACACATCACATTTGTTGACTCACAGATGGAGCCCAGTAAAGCCTGGGTGCTGATGGCCATCAGAGCTGCTCTGTAGGATCGTTAAGTGCTAAGTCACATCACGCACTGGGCACGCATCAAGGTACTGAGGACGGGTCCCAAGATCCAGCAGGCTGGGGACGCCACTTTGAAAACCGATTCGCCTGCTTGCCCTCATCCCTGTCTCTCCCTGTCTTTTCTCCCAGGCTTTCGGCAAAGGTGGAGTGCACGGAAACATGCTCCAGGGACACGGAGCTCAGTTGCTGGGGTTGCACACCCAGGGGGAAGTTCTAAGTAGAAGAGGGGCTATCTACCTTCTAAATGGGAAAGCTCGAAGTTCATAGAAATAATCGATTCCAGGTTTCCCGTTTCTGCAATTCGAGCACATGCCACACTTTCACCTCTGCTCGGTTGCGGGGTCTGGGGCTAGCCACCATGCGCCTCTCTGGGGCTCGGGTCTCTCACTCATGGGGCAGGAGTCGTGCTCGCCACAAGGACCGAGGAAGACAACTGCCGGTACAATACCTAGTGCAACGCTTCACACAAAGATGGACCAAAGAGACAAGAGCCACTGCTGTCATTTAAAAGACAGTGGCAGGGCTTGATAGTGGAGAGCCCGCACAGGCCAGCGGTGGAGTTCTGGCCCTTTCCAGAGAATCCACATTCCCCCAGACTCCCAGCACTGTCACAGGGGATGCTTTTCCTACCTTCTCTCCTTTTTTACACCTTCCCCGGTATTCATTTATACCAGTATGCAAAGGATAAGTAAGGAACTAATTTTAGGTATAATGATTCTCTTCAAAAAAAAAACCCATGTATCAGGTGTCTATTGTGGCAGGCCAAGGGACAGAGATACAAAAAATAGTCCTGCCCCCAGGGAGTGGCAGTGAAATGGGGCAAATGGGAGAACACACAGATAAGAACAACTCCGTAAGACAGTAAGCCATCAGTGGGGCAGGCGCCAGGTACAAGAGGAAGCAGAGAAGGCATTAGAAACACCACAAAAGTCGGTTAAGCCCCTTACACAGCCCCTTACACAGTGAATAACCTGCCACCCCCCCCCACCTCCAGCTGCCTGAACATACCACACTTCCCCCCAACACCACTGTGCAGGCAGCAAGTCTCGGCCCCTCGCCCCTCACACCAGGGAGGATTGGTTGACCTGGACAGGTAGCAACTGCCACCTCAGCTCTGTCAGCTCATCTTCATCACCTTTGTCAACCTCTTCAAGGCTCGGGAAGCATGCCTGATCTGACCATGACAGGCCCCTCGCCAAGGAGTAAGCACGTATGACGAGCCAGGGGCTTACCTGACAGCCCCGTGAGCTCTCCCAGGGGGAGGACGACTATGGAGGGTGGCCCTGAGCAGTGGTCTGCAGGTTTACAGACCCAAACCGGGGCTCCCCTCACTTCGCATCCTTCGCCCTGCGTGTCCAACATGCCCCAGAGACCCCAGAGACATGCCCTCACCCGCGGCAAGCGCCTCTCTCACCTGTCGTGCACAACCCCACTGATTGGAGGAAGCCAGTGGATGGTGAGGGAGGTGTGGGTCTGCCCGATGACCATGGGTGGGATGGGAATGGGGGTGGGCTTCCGGCTTTGACTCCACTGCTGATACACAAGGTCCAAATAGCAATGCATCCGGGCCACCTGGTTAGGGGTGAAGCTGTCGGTGCAGTCATCATCTGTGGAGACAAAAAAAAAAAAAAAAAAAAAAAAAAAAAAAAGGAACAGGAGAGATGAAGGCTTTAACCGCCAAGGCCCACTGAAGCAGGGGTGAATTCTGCCTTGCTCACACCCTGAGTCACTTAACACAAAGCCTCACACGTACTGGGTTCCCCAGGGACTTGTCAGGCGAATAAATGTATGCTGTTCCAGAGAGTATGTAAGCCACAGTGGGAAAGAGAAGGCAGAGAAGAGCACTGCTGATCCCTAAAGCAGGGCCAGTACCTTGCTATGAGGCCGAGCCGGGGGAGACTCACGCCCTGGGGTAAAAGATTACTCGGAGCTGACGGTTACTTATTCAGGAAACCACAAGATGGCAGTGTTTCAGCATATGGCCTTTTTACTCATGAACATCTCCAGAGTTGCAGACACCTGTTTCATACCCAGTGACTGCCAAGGTTAGGGAGGATTCGGTGGAGACGCTCAAGGAAAGAGAGAGCCAAAATGTCAAGGATGCAGCAGGACTGGGAACGGTGGTCCTTACCTTCTTTTTGGGGCCTGCAACATCTCCCTGTTAACATAATTTTCATAGGGCTGGAAAAGGAGTTATTTTAGTTTCAGAGCTTTTTTAAAAAATATATTTACTTATTTTGGGGGAGAGTGTCAGCGGGGGTGGGGGGCAGAGAGTGGGGGCCAGAGGCTCCGAAGAGGGCTCTGCGCTGACAGCCTGACGGCAGCCAGCCCTATGTGGGGCTTGAACTCACGAACCACAAGATTATGACCTGAGCCGAAGTCGGTCACCCAGCTGACTGAGCCACCCAGGCGCCCCTCAGAGCTTTTTTTAATGAAAGCACACCAGCTGAACACTGCCCCCTGTTCCTTAGATGGTTTTCCCGGCCCACTTCAAAGGCGGTGCCTAAACAGCTCTGCCCTCTGCACCCCATTGTCTGGTCTCCCGTGGCAAGGGCCACTGTGGCCTCGTTGGGGGGAGGCAGGGCTGCTGGTCCTTATGAATTCAGTGCGCCTGAATTATATGCCAAAAGGAGACAATAGCTGACCAGGTCACCACTCTTTTCTTCCCTTCTTTCCTTCAGAGGCATGACCAAGGCCTTGTGGTTTATCTTTTTTTTTTTTTTTTTTTTTTTTTTTTCTGGAGTTGGGGAGAGGATAGCCTTAGAATTTATTACCAAACAAGACCCTTCACCTTACAGAAAAATCATCCCTTCCTTCTCCCTAGAATAAGTCATCAAATCAAATCAGTCCTTACTTTTAGGGATAAATTTGAGTCCGTCACCAAGAGATGATGATAAGTACTACTTTTTGCCAGAAATGAGCAAGAGAAACTGGACAAGTAAGAGACATAATCCAGGATAACAAGACCAGATAATAGGGTTGTTCCCAGGGCCAGGAAAGTAGTGCCATTTTTTTTTTTTAATTTTTTTTTTCAACTTTTTTTATTTATTTTTTTGGGACAGAGAGAGACAGAGCATGAATGGGGTAGGGGCAGAGAGAGAGGGAGACACAGAATCGGAAACAGGCTCCAGGCTCCGAGCCATCAGCCCAGAGCCCGACGCGGGGCTCGAACTCACGGACCGCGAGATCGTGACCTGGCTGAAGTCGGACGCTTAACCGACTGCGCCACCCAGGCGCCCCACCATTTTTTAAATAAGACAGCACCTGTTTTTGTTTTTGTTTTTTTTTCCTTTGGTAGGCAAGCTAAGAATCAGCCCTTGGCTCATGTTGGAAGAAGCAAATCTGATACCTTAAAAAAGAACAAAATAAAAAGGAATTCTGAGCTTGAGCTTAAAATTAACCAGGTCCATCTTCTTGACTAATTTCAAAAACAGCACAGAGGCACCTTGACCCAGAAACCTCTTTCCCCATCACTGTTGGGAGTCTCCTTCAGAGAGAATGCTTAAAAACGTAGGCAAGAACAGGAATAACCAAGTTCTAGAGGTCAAAGCAATCTCAAGAGAGCTTTGGGTTTTGTCTCCTTTTTAAACCATCCAAGAGAGAGGTGTGTTTTTCTTTTGAACTCTAGTGGAGGAGAATCCAGCCCCTTAGACCCCTTCTCATCTCCATATTTGTTTAAGTTCTTCAAAGACACACATGAAAAAGAATATGCCGTGGTAAATACACTTCAGCCCTCTGGCATGAGTGACTGCTTCACAGGCCTCTCCACCTCCCACACCTCCATACCCCGCCCTGGCCCCAAAAGGCCCCCACGTAATCTTCATAGCAGATACACATACTGAAACTGTCGTGATACCTGTATAGCTCATGTAGTTGCTGAACGGAGCCCCCGGGAAGTGGGTGAAGCCACAGGTATCGTTGGTAGGCTCTGGGTCCTGGCACAGCTTACTCTTGGGAGTAGGGGCGGTGTCGGCACAGAGGTCTCCCGTATCCATGGATGGCACTGTCTCCCTACAGGGGTCATCACAGGATTCCCTCTCACTGACCCCTTTGAAGACATGGTAGAGTCCCAGCACATGCCCCACCTCGTGGATCATAATGTTGGTATGGCCAGGCATGCCATAATAGGCTGGGTTGAGGACAACGCCACCTGCAATGGAAGATTTGGAAAACATCTCTAAGCATGTAACGAATAGCAGCCTCTGATCCTTAATTATGTCTGCTGGTAAACATCCAGTGTTCAATTTCAGCCTCTAAGGGAATACTGTATAACTTTTAGTGGCATTCAGTCACCTGCTTTTCCCTTTGGTCACAAACACCATCTGAACTAATTAATAAATGCGTCTTTAGCCCCCAACATAGATGAGGGCTGTTCTAGAAGCCAGGGAGAGCAATAAAGATGAAACGACATGATAGAAGGCCAGGATTCTTAGCGCTGGCTGCACATTAACAGCACCTAGTGAAGTTAAAAACACAGATGTCCTAGAGACCTGAATGTGAGACCTGAAATTTTAAAAATGCTAGAAGATAGCACAGACAGTAATATCTCTGATATTGGCCATCGCAACATTTTTCTAGGTATGTCTCCTGAGGCAAGGGGAAATAAAAGCAAAAATAAACTATTGGGACCTCATCAAAATAAAAAGCCTCTGCACAGCAAAGGAAACAATGAACAAAACGAAATGGCAACCTACTGAATGGAAGAAGATATTCGCAAATGACATATCTGATAAAGGGTTAGTATATAAATTATATAAAGAACTTACATAATTCTATACCCAAAAAACAAAGAATCCAATTTAAAAATGGGCAAAAGAAATGTACAGACATCTCTCCAAAGAAGACATACAGATGGTCAAGAGACACATGAAAAGATGTTCAACATCATTCATTATCAGGGAAATGCAAATCAAAACTACAATGAGATTTCACCTCACACTTGTCAGAATGGCTAAAATAAAAAACACAAGAAACAGTGAGTGTTGGTGAGAATGTAGAGAAAAAGAAACCTTCACACCACTGATGGGAATCCAAACTGGTGCAGTCACTTTGGAAAACAGTATGAAGTTTCCTCCAAAAGTTAAAAACAGAACCACCCTATGATCCAGGAATTGCACTCCTGGGAATTTATCCCCAAAATACAAAAATATTAATTCAAAGGGATACATGTACCCTTATGCTTATTGCGGCATTATTTACCACAGACAAATTATGGAAGCAGCCCAAATATTCGTTGACTGATGAATGGGTAAAGAAGAGATGGTACGTGATATACAACACTATTCAGCCATAAAAATCTTGCCATTTGCAATCATGTGAATGGAGCTAGAGAGTATAATCCTACGTAAACTAACTCAGAGAGGATAAATACCATATGATTTCACTCATAGGTGGAACTGAAGACACAAAACAAATGAGCAAAGGAGAAAAGAGAGAGAGAAACCAAGAAACGGATTATTAACTATAGAGAACAAACTGATGGTTACCAGACGGGAGGTGGGGGGGGGGGGGGGGGGGGAGGATGGGTGAAATAAATGACAGGAATTGAGCATACTGGTGGTACTGATGAACACTAGGTGATGTATGGAAGCGCTGAATCCCTACATTGGACACCTGAAACTAACATAACAGTGCATGATAACTCCACTGGAATTAAAAGAAAGTGAAACAAAACTGTCAAATCCATTACACTCTTGAGGAGGGCACCTGTTGGGATGAGCACGGGGTGTTGTATGGAAACCAATTTGACAATAAATTTCATTAAAAAAAGATCCATTACACTCTTGGTAGAAATGTAACTTGATACAACAATTTTTATGGTAAAGAGAATGGAGGTTCCCCAATGTATACTTTTTAATTACATTAATTCATTTCAAAAAAAATCAATGTATATGTGGCAGCAAAACAAACAAACAAACAAACAAAAACACAGATGTCCAAATGCTAGCCCCGATGAAATGAATCCAAATATTCGAGGATGGGGATCTATGCCTTAGTATTGTTTGAGACTTCCCAGATTGAGAGCCATTGGTATGGATGAAAGCACATGGGGTTTAGAGTCAGGGAATTCTGGGTCTGGATCCTGGCCCTCCACATACTAGCTCTGAGGACTTGAACAGCTATCTGAGCTTCTAGGACCTCAGCTGTGCCGTCTGTAAAGTGGAGATGATGACACCTACTTCCTGCTTTTTGCAGGTTTGGGTCTTCTAAAGCATTTGGCATGCTGGGGGAGTTTAGTAAATGACAGTTATGTGTGCTGCTTCTGAATTCATGACCCATACTCACAAGGAGCCAACGACCACTGAGACGAAAGACAAGTCCAACCAAACTACCATTCACTTCAGAATGTCAGAGGCCCTACGGGAATATGTCCCACCCTCACCTCCCCCAAATCTCCCTGAGAACACCAGGGAGGTGTTTCAAAGAACAGTTGACTGCATTCATCCGGGCTTGGATGAAAGTAGTGGGCTCGCTGTAACCTTCCAGAAGTAAAGGCTAAAGACCTCGCAGTGTCCCAGCTTCTATGTGTCTAGCTTCCCGATCCCAGCTTTCCAATCTCAGATTCCCAATCCCTGCTTTCCTCCTCTCCCCACGGTTGGAGCCACTTGACCTTCAAACATTGTCGGGATCGGGCCTCATCCTCATCTCTAGGACCTGAAACGGGGCCATGTCAATGGCTCTGGACCAACCCTCTGGTTGCTTCCAGGCTGCCCCTGACCCTCTGATTCAGATCTGACCCCAACTGCCAAGCCGTGCATCATCCCTCCTACCTGAGCCCTCCCTGTATCAACAGTCCACTGAGTACGGCAGTCCCTCCAAAAGAATGGCTCTGCTTTTCTTCTGGAAGATCCTTTCCAGGGACTGTCTCATTTCTGAATTCTATGTGCTGCCCTAAAGACAACTACATAAATGGTTTCATGGGCAGAACGGAATCACTGGGTATCTGGTGCCACAACCGGTGGCTCAACCTGCCCTTTTAGTGACTACCTTCCAGCAAATGACAGTTTCTAGGTCCAAGTTCTAGCTTCTCCCAGTCTACTCAGACATGCTGACATTAACCAAGGCATGCCCAGACACGTCCTGAAATACACTATCTGCTCTCACATCTACATCAGAGCCAGACCTCACCTCCCTTGTTCATCATTTCTATCACTTCCAGTAGAAGTTTTTATTCTCTCATATTAACCTTTTTTCCTTTTATAAAATTATTTTCTGTATATTTCTTTCATTTGTGCATCATTATGTCAACACAAAGTTATTTGAAAACAGATCTATTCCAGTAACATCCTGGGTGCTCAGTATTTGCATAAAGCCAGCAAAATGCAGCATTTCCACGTTTCAAGATGCTGACTGCTTCATGTTTACAGCAAAGGCACTAGTAATCATCATCAAAGTTCATACTTTGGCTCTCAACTCTTCTTTGTTTTTTTTAAGGTTATTTATTTATTTTGGGAGAGAGAGAGGGCATGAGTGGGGTAGGGGCAGAGAGAGAGAATCCCAAGCAGGCTCCATGCTGTCAGCACAGAGACTCATGCAGGGCTCAATTCCACGAACTGTGAAATCATGACCTGAGCCGAGATCAGGAGTCAGACATTTAACCGACTGAGCCACCCGGGGGGGCCCCTCTCAGCTCTTTTTCATCCACATGAGCAAAGGTGCTCTAAGAGCACCATGCTGTTTGTGTCATTACTCTCTTCTGCCTTCCTCCACCCCAACCCTTCCCCCCCACACACACTTAACCTGTTTCCCTCCTCCTCCTTTCCCTTCCCCCACCTCTAAGCAAGATTTGGATTCAAAAAACCAATCTGGGAGTGCCTGGGTGGCTCAGTTGGTTAAGGGTCTGACTTCGGCTCAGGTCATGATCTCACGGTTCATGGGTTCGAGCCCCACGTCGGGCTCTGTGCAGACAGCTCAGAGCCTGGAGCCTGCTTCAGAGTCTGTGTCTCCCTCTTTCTCTGCCCCTCCCCTGCTCACGCTCTGTCTTTCTCTCTCTCAAAAATAAATAAACATAAAGAAAAAAACCAATCTCAGGGGGCGCCTGGGTGGCCCAGTCAGTTGAGTGTCCAACTTCACTCAGGTCATGATCTCATGGTCCATGAGTTCGAGCCCCACGTTGGGCTCTGTGCTGACAGTTCAGAGCCTGGAGCCTGCTTCGGATTCTGTGTCTCCTTCTCTCTCTGCCCCTCTGTCATATCTGATGGTTAGGTGTGCTTGAGAAAAATGAAGCATGCCACACCCACCTCCTGCAGATTGACTGGCCTAAGAACTATAGCTTCTGAAAAGCCTTGCAGCAATTTTGTTGAACCCTTTGCTTCCCAAACTTGTTTGAACACAGAACCTGTTTGGGGTAGAATACCTTTCGACGTAAGGAATACTGGATTCCTTAGAGTACAATTCATACCAAGTACCAAAGACAAAGAAAAGTCTCAAGTAACAGTTACTTTCTACCCATACATATGGTCAGTCCATCTCAAGTCCTCTTGGGATCTCCTCCAATGGTAGAAGAAAGGGGTTATAACTGAATAGAAATAAGATTACAGGAAGAAGGGCTGGCAAAAATAGGAAGGAGGGGTGGCTGGGAGTGTGCTTCTGGGAGCACTGGATGAGGATGAGAGTGGTCATTATACTAGTGGGTGTCTCATCATCCTCCAGAAGTTTCTGCCTCAACCCCAAATGAGATATTTCCCAATATAGGAATATTCTCCTTTCAATAAACCAGCTTATTTGTAAGAAGAGGAAGAAGCATAAAAATGCAAGTTCTTACCACGCTCAGCAAATCTCCTCCACACCAACGACAGTGGTGAGGGTTTTCTGCCATAGCACTCTTAATGCACATTAAGGACAGTGTAGACTTAACCAGGCAACACTTAAATTTTAATTAAAAACATAAATCTTTTATGTTCTATTTTTTTTTACTGTTCTATTTTTTTACTCCAGAAAGATGAGACTTTCGCCCCCAAATCATTGTATGGAACGCACAGTAATAAGTTCAGTTGCTATGTGTGTGTCAGGTAGAATGTTATATATTCTAATTTAGAAGTAAGTGCTGTGTGCACCAATACATGTTGAGGGAAAAGCCCAGGATCCTCTTACAGTAATTCTGCTCGCTAGAGCCTGAGGTTAGGAAATCACGCTGGACCAGAACTTAAG